GCTGAGGATCCACTGGAGATCTCCTTCCACAATTCTTTGAGGAACAAGTCTCTTGGAGAGATTTTCACAAGGAAAAGAAGAAAAAAAAGAAATGGAAAGAAGGGGAAAAAAAAAGAAATGGCCAAGAAAATGCAGAGAAGAAGAAGGATTCTTTGTAGTAAAAAAACCCCAAAAAAAACAAAACAACAATTTGGGAATTTCTTCCAACTCAAGGCAGCAGGAATCAGCTGAAGACTCAAAAAGATGAAAAGAGCTGGAAAAATCTGGCAGCTCCCTCAATCCAAACCCTTTCCAAGATGCTCTGACCACGAGCAGAGGGAAGCTCAGCAAGGCTGGAAAGGCAAAACCTGTGTGAAAGCTCCAATTTCACAGCAAAACTGAAATCCAAGTGAAATGTCTGGCCCTGGGTGACCTTTGGGTTCTGGAACACAGAACTGGATGGTTTTTATTCTTTTTTTTTCCCTCTAACAGGTGTGATATTTTCCAGCTGGAACCCAAAAGCCACAGCTTTGTTGTAATTCTAAGTTAATGTGACTTTCGTGACCTCTGTGTTTACTTAGGACACATTTCAGAAAGTCTGGGTTATGTTGGGCACCCAAAATCCCATTTTTAAGTCTGATGTAAAAGTGAGGAGGTATCTCCTGGCTCTGCAAAGCCATTCCTCCAACCAGCTCCAAATATTTTGGAGAAATATTTCTTTTAACATCAAAGTTTATTAATAACTCCCAGATGGCAACTTTCCCACTCAGCCTGCCAGGTCACGACTCCAGATTGCAGAGGCACAACCAAGTAAAGGCAAAAAGAAATAAATTCTCTTTTATTCAAACCAGGCTGTGGTGAAGAACTGAGGTTTAGCCAGGAAATATTTGATTTATTGCTTCCTAATCACAACTATTTCACTCAGGGGGAAGGTGTTTGGGGTGGGCAATGAGTCTGGACTAAATGAATTAAGATTTATTTCCCCCTTTATGTCACACTTGGTTGGTTTTCCTAAGTGCAGGAACCACACCACTCAATCCAAACTTCCTCTGCCAGTTAACAAAGCAAACAGAAACAAGCCTCATGCTCACAAATTTGTTTTTTTCCCTTTCCCACCTTTCCTCCTGGCCGAATCTTACCGGGATTTGCTGGATTTCTCCCGTGTTGGTGATGATTTGCTGCATCACTTGCATGGTTTGTCCTGTGCTGCTCTGCCCCTGCTGGCTCTGGCCCTGGGGCTGGGCCTGCACGATCTGGACCTGCTGCCCCTCTCCCACCTGCATGGTCACGGGGGTGGTCTGCACAAAAAAAACCAGGGATGAGGATCCAGGAGGTGGAAAATCCATCAGGTGTCAGGACTGGGGGAGATTCAGCCTGTCCTACACCCACGAATTTGGTGTAGGATCCCAAATCTGTGGTGATTTGGGGTTAAATCACCACAAAGGAGCTCAGAGCCTGGGTGAGGCTCTGACCCAGGAACCACATTTGGACCAGGAGAGGTGAGGTTGTCCCACAGAAATGTCCAAGGTAAGGCAGGACAAGGATTGGAACAACTTGGGACAACGAAAGGTCCATGACGATGGAACAGGGTGAGATTTCAGCTCCTTTCCTCTCTCCCAACCCATCCCAGGGTTGAACCCGTGATCTCCACTGATGTTCCTGAGCAATCCATCCCTGTGGATCTCCCTCAGCCATGGCTCACCTGGCCCTGCTGGGGCTGGGGCAGTCCTGTCCTAGACCCAGGTAAAATCACCACAGATGGAGCTCAGAGCCTGGGGGAGGCTCTGAACCAGGTTTCTGAACCAGGAACCACATTTGGACCAGGAGAGCTGAGGTTGCCCCACAAAAATGTCCAAGGCAGGACAAGGATTGGAACAGCAGAAGGTCCCTGATCATGGAACAGGGTGAGATTTCCGTTCCTTCCTTCCCTCCCAACCCAACCCAACCCATCCCAGGGTTGAACCCATGATCTCCACTGAAGTTCCTGAGCAATCCATCCCTGTGGATCTCCCTCAGCCCCTGGGGCCTGGCTCACCTGGCCCTGCTGGGGCTGGGCGATGATGATCTGGCCCGGCTGGATGGTGGTGGTGGCCGTGGTGGTCTGCTGGCCCTGCTGCTGGCCCTGCACCTGCACTGCTGCTGGCTGCTGGGCCAGGGTGAAGTAATACTGCACGGGCTCGGCCGGGGTGACGGCCTGGCGCACCTCCTCCTGCGGGGAAACACCGGCAGGGAGTCGGGGTGGGCACACGGCCCCCGCCCGCCCCGCAGCCAAACGTCCCCCCAGGCACATCCCCTGGGAAAGAGCTTCAGCACCTCCCTCACAACACTTCAGCCAGGCCTGTGTGAGCTGATAAAAGCTCGTTGGTTCGGCCCCGTGGAAATCAGGAAGCCAATAACGTGTGGGTAACGCCGAGGTGGAGGAAATAATAATTAAAATTATCAGAATCGAGAGGCATGGAACTTCCTGGTGGGTGAATTCCAGCACAGGAGCAATTGCAAATGGCTCAGGAAAACTGACAGAGCCTCCTCTGTCACCCAGCCCCTCTCCTGCGCTGGGTTCCCAACCCTCCACCGAGCTCTGATGTCAATAAAAGTCATGGATTTGATGCTCGCTGCCGTGCCTGGAGTTATTTATTTAAATCCAGCTTTTCCAGGCTGCCAACCATTCCCTGCTGAGGGAGCAGGGATCTCGGAGCAGTGGGAAGAACCAGAGGCTCTGCTCCCCTCCCTGGCAGCAGCAGCGCTGCTTTCTTTCCTCTCAGGAGAGAAAAGCCCCTCATGATCAACGACATTCCAGGATTTTCAGCGATTATGGGATGTAAATACTCCAGGATCAGAATTCCTGAGCTCCCCAGAGCAGCTGGATGAGGGCAGGTGCAGCTCCCAGGCGTTCACTCCATGGCAGAAGGCGTAAACAATCCTCTCCCAGCCACCTCGAGTTCACAGCTGAGAGTGTAGGATGTTTACACGTGCTACAACATGGGACATTCCCCCTTCCAGCGGCCTGCTGCAATCCCTGCTCATGGATTCCCCTTCACTTCATCCAGCTGGGCAGGAAAAGGAAAATTCACATCAAACAGGGTGAGCACTGAGCTGGAGTGAGGAGTTTGTTGGCTTAGAAGCTGTTTTTTTGGGGAGCAGAACAACTCAGGAGTTACTCCTAGGAGGTTTCTCAGAGTAAGAATCTCAAAGATTCAACTGATCCCAACTGGTTGTAAGAAAAAAGAAAAAAAAACAAACAACTTTGAGCCTGGCTCTCAGGGCAGACATCATCACAATCACCACCAAACACAACCTGTGCTACTCCTGCAGCTCCCATTCCTCTGATGGAAGGAGGAATAATAATAATTAAAATTTATTTTCACCAGGGCAGGTCTGCAGTGAACCCACAAGGGCTGGGGCAGCTCTAAGCCCAGTCCTTAGGTTATTTCTGGAGTGCTCCAATCCCCAGTTCCAGCTAAATCTGAAATAATGAAGACTGAGACCTCCTCTGAGCATCTATTCCAGGCTCAATCCTTTTTGCCACAGGCAGGAATGGCTTTAAATCCAAATTTTCTTCCACTCCCTCCTATCCCAGCATTTGCCATCTTTTATTTCCAAGCCACAGCTGGAGTTCCCAGAGCAGCACAACACCAGGATTTCACTCCCAGCTCCTCCAAGAACCGACACTACCTCATCAAATAAGAGATAAAATACAGATTGTGGGGAAAAAACCAAAAAATCCAGGCACAGGCAGTTGCTTTTCCACAGGATTTTCCCTGTAAATCCTTAATCTACATTCCTAGGGGGTATCTAGCTCTCCACACAACTTTTCCTGCTGGAAAAAGGATTCCTGGTGAGGAACATCTCCCCAGCTTCATTTCCACCCCAAACTGCCCAGGATTTCCTGGCTGGGATGGATCAGAATTTACCCCAGGTGCTGTAACACACCCCTGAGATGCTCCAGGAAAATTCCTTGGATGGCAGAGCTCGGATGTTCTGTAATCACAACGCCCTGATGTGAGTCAAGAAGGAGAAGACACAAGGAATGCTCTCCCCTCCCATGGCTAAAAATAGAAAAGTACAGGAATGAGGCGCCTCAAGAAAAATAAAAAAAAAAAAAAAAAAAGAAAAAAGTGGATTTCCAAAGCCAGAACGGAAATTTCAATTATTACAACTATAAAATAAGTTAAAGAAGAGCAGCTGTGGGGGCTGTTTTGTCTTTTAATTAACACCAAACCACGAGTTTGGAGAAATATTTCTATTTTATGTTGAGATCCCAGCACACCTGGAATGCTGATTTTAACCCCAGGAGCAGCAGGATGGACTCTCCTGGATATTGGGACGTGGAAAAATGTTTTTCTTATTTTCTAAACCTTCTGGAAATCAGGATGGGAAGTTAAACCTGGCTCAGGGCACCATCCCAAAGAAGTGGGGTGGATTCCCTGTTCCCTCATTTAGAGTGGAATAAAGGAAAAAAAATTCACGTCAGAGACAAACTTCCAAGCCAAGATGTTCCACAAAGTCCCAAATTCCCCATTTTGTGGGGGAAAAATTTGGATTTTTCCACACTGAAATCCTTCATAAGTAATTGTTTTAATAATTGATTTTTTTTTTTTACTGTAGGACAAGGAGCAGAATTATCCAAAGAGGGCCTTGAGGGGAAAATGCAGAGTTTTTATGCAGGAAATTGGGAGGAAAAGGGATGAGGAATCCAGCTCCAGTGTTGCTCTATACAGACAGAATTTTTTATTATATCCAGGATTCAGAGTGGAATTAAGGAAAAAATTAAGGAAAAATTTCCAAGAGACAAACTTCCAAGCCAAGATGTTCCACCAAGTCCCAAATTCCCCATTTTTTGGGGGGAAAATTTGTATTTTTCCACACTACAAACCTTCAGAAGTAGCAGAAAAGGAGCTGTTTTAACAATTATTTGAATTTTTTTTTTTCCAAAAAAAGAAAAAAAAAAAAAAGAGGTTATTTATTGAGGGGAAAACCCAGAGTTTTGGTGCAGGAAATGTGAAAATGCTGAGCTGAGAGCAGCAGCCTGCTGCTGTAAACATCCGACTGAAAGCTCCTTCCAGCCCTTCCAGCTTCCAGTCAAGGATGTTTACAGAGGCACTGACTGCCCCAAAAGATACAAAAGTGGCATTTTTCAACCCAAAAATCATAAAATTCTGATAAATATATTTATTTTCAAGTGAAATTTTTCTCACTGGCACCATTTGGGAGCAGAATTGTTCAGGAGTGGGTTTGGTTTGTTGGAAAGACTGGTGTTATGTCCATTAAATCTCTTTATTTCCACAAAAAACCCAGTGGTTTTTAGTTTTATTTATGAGTTTTAGTTTTATTTAAGAAATTGAGAACCTGAAAATGTAAGAATTTAAAAAACTTGGAATTAAGGAATTTAACAACCTGAAATTAAACAATTTAAGAACCTGATATTAAAGAATTTAAAAACTTGAAATTAAATAATTTAAAACCTTGAATTAAAGAATTTAAGAACGTGAAATTAAAGAACTTAAAAACCTGGAATTAAAGAATTTTAAAACTTGAAATTAAAGAATTGAAAAACTTTCAATTAAAGAATTTAAGAACCTGATATTAAAGAATTTAAGAAACTGTAATTAAAGAATTTAAAAACTTGGAATTAAAGAATTTAAGAGCCTGAAATTAAATAATTAAAAAACTTGGAATTAAAGACTTAAAGAATTTAAAAACCTGGAATTAAACAACGTAAAAACTTGTAATTAAACAATTTAAAAAGTTGGAATTGAAGAATTTAAAAACTTGGAATTAAAGAATTGAAGGACCTGAAATGTAAGAATTTAAAAACTTGGAATTAAAGATTTAAAAACTTAAAGAATTTAAAAACTTGAAATTAAAGAATTAAAAACTTTGGAATTAAACAATTCAAAAACCTGGTTTTAAAGAATTTAAGAACTTGAAATTAAATAATTTAGAAACCTGAAATTAAAGAGTTTAAAAACTTAAAGAATTGAAAAACTTGAAATTAAAGAATTTAAGAAACTTGGAATTAAAGAATTTAAAAACCTGAAATTAAACAATTTAAAAACTTGAAATTAAACAATTTAAAACCCTGAAATTTAAGAATTTAACAACCTGAAACCCACAGGAAACAAAGCACAAACCTCACATTTAAATCTCTGTTGCTCGATCACCTCAGTTTCCCCCGGAGGCCGAAACCAGGCTGAGAAAAGGTGGAAAATTCAGAATTTTGTGCCTCACCTGCCGCTTTGGGGGCTTCAGCTCATCCCGGGGGACGATATCGATCAGGAAATCGAACTGGTCGAACTTGGTGATGGCCATGGCGATGTCGTTCCTCTGCAGGACAAAAAAAGGGAAATTTCCTCAGCCCACCACGGATTTTGCCACTATCATCCACTTATTTTTGCCACATCCATCACCACAAACCAAATCTCTACACGTTCAGATCACAACCTCCTCTTTAAGATCATTTTATGGAGAAAAAAAGTTCTATTTTACTCTTCAACCATTAAAAAAAGAAGAGTACTGTTGAGGAGATGGATTCTCTAGAGCCAATAATCTGTTGTATTTCATTTTGTTATATCTAATTTGTTGTATTTTTATTTTCACCTCCATCACCACAAACCCAACATCTACAAGTTTAGATCACAACCTCCTCTTTTTCTCCATAAAATGACCTTAAAAAGTTCTATTTTACTATTTTAACCATTAAAAAAAGGGTATTATTGAGGATTCTCTAGAGCAAATAATCTGTTGTATTTTATTTTGTTGTATCTAATTTTGTTGTATTTTAATTTTCATGTCCATTACCACAAACCCAACCTCTCCAAGTTTACATCACAACAAAAACCAACAAAAATCAACCAGAAATTCAAGAAATTCAACAGCTGAAGCTTCACAGAATCCTTCCAGTAGGTCACAATCAGCTGAGAGATGGGAGATTTGTCTTTGGGCGAGTTTATTTTAATTTAATTAATAAAAAAAAGACCTTTCAGCTGGGCAGTTGTGGGTTGCTGGGTACAAAATGTGCCTGGTGTGATGGAAACAAGGATTTGGGAAGGAATTTTGGGATTTGGGAATTCCTTTACCTGCAGGGTCCTGCGTTTGTTGTCCTCCGTGTGGATCCAGGCCCGCAGGGTCAGCTCGGTGATGAAAATCTGAGCAGCTTTTGCAAACAGCACAGGGGCTTCTGCACTGATCATCTGCCAAAAAAATCGGATTATTTCTAATTTTACCACTCAGTTCTAACGGTGCAAAGAGGAATTTCGTTGTCTGAGGGGAAGTTGTGGGGTTAAATCTGAATTTGGGGGAATTTTCACCTCAGGATTTTCACCTCAGGATTTCCTCAGGTCTGACTGAGTTAGATCGTGGAAGAGGAGTTCTGGGTATCTAAAATATTCTCTAAAGAGAATTGTTTGTCTTTTTTTCCTTTTTTTTTTTTTGCCCTCAGTGTGACACCATCCTTCTGTCAGGACAGCCCTTAATTCAAATGAGATCTTAAAAATTCTCCATTCACACTTTGGTTATCAGCTGCATTGGCATTAATGCTTATTAATTAACCTTTAAATAGGAATATTTCTATTTAAGTGGAGGCTTTCCCTGCTCTCCACTCTGCCTTAAAATCTCCTTTTCCCCTTTAGCATCACAAATTTGGCATTTATTTGGTTCAGACACGGAGTTGGGCCCTCAGAAATCTGGGATTATATTTTTCCAGGGAGTCTGACTAGAGAATTTTCTCATTTTTGTCATTTATTTAAGGCTCTCTCATAAATTAAGGGCTGTCCTGACAGAAGGATGGTGTCACACTGAGGGGAAAAGAAGAAAAAAATAAAAAACAATTCTATTTTCCCTCAGAAATTAAGTGACAGTTTTCCAAATTAAAAAAAAACCCAAAAAACAAGGATGAGGCGATTCCTTTTTCCTTCTTTCTGTGTCAGGGAGTTTTCATCAATTTGTGTGTCTTTGTCATTAAAATCCCAAATATTGGGATCAAACCCGAGTTATCCACCTGAATTGTTGCTTATTTTTCCATAAAAAAATAAAATAAATGGCATAAATATAATTATGTCAATCTACTGGGATCAAACTCATGTTATGCACCCAAATTGTTGCTTATTTTTCCATAAAAAAAGAAAATAAATGGCATAAATATAATTATGTCAATCTACTGGGATCAAACTCATGCTATCCACCTGAATTATTGCTTCTTTTTCCATAAAAATGGAATTAGCTGGCACAAAAATCACTCTAAATCTTTGTGAGAGTCGAAAAAAACAAAGAGGGAACTTGAGAGACAGTTAGGCACTAGGGAAAACAGGAAATAACCTGAATTATTTTTGTATTTATTATACCTTTCAAGTGGTATTTATCACAAAAAAAAAACCAAAACAAAACTGCAAAATCAAAACCAAAATCCCAAATGTTTCTGCTTTCCCAGCTCAGTTTAATTACAAAAGGCCAAGGGAATTTTGCTAAAAAATGCTTTAAAAATAATAATAATGAGAAGATTAATGAATTTCAAGGGATAATGGGTAAAATATCCAGGAAAAGGAGCATAAATCCTTTTCCAGGATCAAAAATTCCAGGTAAAAACCCTGAATGTACCTTCACATCTTCATCCAACTTCATGATTTTCTTAATCCGAGCCAAGGGCAGCTCCTGGACTCTGAAGTCTTTCTGCAGAGAGATTTCAGAGACTTTTTACTGATATTTAACTGAAAGTAAAGGTTAAAAAATGTTCAAATAATCAGTGTTTTCTGGAACTGAACTGGCTAAAACCAGATTTATTCTCTTTCAGGTGTGGCAGCTCTTCCTGGGGATTCTCATGATTCTATTTTAATTCCTAATTCCTGAGCCCAAAGGAAAAAGATAATCCTGAAAATATTTTCCAGGCTAAACCATTCCATGATTTTATGACTCTGTTACAATTCCATCTCCATTTTTTGGGACATTCCTGGCTGAGGGATTATTCCTCATTTCCTAAACCACCTTATCCCATAGGAACACCCAATTTCCCAGATCCCAGAGCAGGAACAGGCTCAACAGGAACTCTGAGAGGAATTTTTCCCGGTTTTTCCTGGGAATGTTCACGGTTCTATTTTAATTCTAATTCCTGTGCCCAAGGGACAGAGATAATCCTGAAGATCTTTCTCCATGATTTTCTGACTCTGCTACAATTCCATCTCCATTTTTTTTGGGAGATTCCTGGCTGAGGGATGATTCCTCATTTCCTAAAGCAAATTTCCCAGATGCCAGAGCAGGAAGCTGAACTTTGAGGGGATTTTCCCCAGTTTTTCCTGGGAATATCCCAGCCCTGGGGATGCTGACCACGGTGAGGTTGCGGATCTCCTCCATCACCCGTGGCCAGAAGCTCTGGAGGCTCTGCTGGGCATCGCTGTTCCCCGCCGTGCCAAAGCCGCCGTCCGTGGACATCCCGGCACCTGGAGAGGGGAAAAACACAGGCATGAGCGAGGGAATAAAAAAAAACAAACAGGAAATAAACAGGAATGTGCAAGGAGGGAAAAAAAACAGGGAAAGATAGAAAAAACAGGGAAAAAACAGGTAAAAAACCATAAAAGCGAGGAAAAAAACAGGGAAAATGCCGGGAAAAAAACACCAAAAAACAAAACAAAACAAAACAAAACAAAACAAAAAAACCAAAAAAAAAAAAGGGGAAAAAAACATGGGGGAAAAGAAGGGGGAAACAAGGGGGAAAATAAAAGGGGGAAAAAATAAAAAGGGAAAAAATAAAAGGGGAAAAAAAACACAGGGAAAAAAAGGAACAAAAAAGGGAAAAAAAAGGGGGAAAGAAAAAAGGGGGGAAAAAGGGGGGGGGAAAGGGAAAAAAAAAGGAAAAAAAGCAGGAAAAAAAAAAACAGGAGAAAAAAAAGGAAAAAAAAAAAGGAAAAAATAAAGGGAAAAAAAACAGGGAAGAAAAAAAAACCCAAGGGAAAAAAACCAGGAAAAACCCCCAGAATTTCAGGTCATTTATAATGTAAAAATCCTCCTGATGGATACAAAAAAATTCCCATTTTTCAGTTAAACACAGAAGTGATTTCAGAACAATGAAGAATTCCTGCCTTCCGTGCCTGTTTAGGATCATTTTATGATAAATTGAGTAAAAAT